GCAGGTTCTCAGCATCACTATGTCCTGCTGCAGGGGAGCAGAAGAAAGAAGGAGGCAGGTCCCTGCAAAAGGGAGAGAGGTGGGCAAGTGCTCCGAGACCGTGTGGGCTTAATGACATGTTGTGGAAGAAGCTCAGATCCTGGAGTCAGACAAACCTGGGTCCATGCACTGACTCCACTCTTCACCAGCTGTGTGACTCTAGGCAGGTTGCGCTACCTCTCTGGGCCTCTGCTTCCTCCCTTGACAAACAGGGATATAATGTCACTGCTCTATTAGCCACAATTATGGGGACAAGAAAACATTTGCTCAGATAAGTTTTCTACCAAAGGCTGACGTCGATCATGATTCTTCAAGACAAGCGATGAAACAAAACGTCTCAGTATTGCTCAGACCCCTGAGAGTGCTGGTTTACTCTGTAGAGCTCTGTAGTTTTTGTCCCAAGAATTAGGGAAGGTAAATTGTAACAGTTATCTGACACCCAGTTGATGCCCAATAAGGAGTAGCTCTTATTATATACTCTTTCAATAAACATTGATTATGCACCTGTTGTATACCGGCGTGAGCACCTAGTCTTCTGTGTAAGCCAGAAGGTAAGAAGATAAAGAGAGCAGCTGCAATTACCAGGAGGAAGATAGCAGTCATCAGAATGGCCTGCACAGGGCCATTTTCCCAGAAGGGAGCACTGAGGCCCAGAGAGGGCAAGTGATTTGCCTGAGGTCACACAGCAAGTTAGTGGTAGAGCCCAGGGTACAACCTAGACCTCCTGCTTTGAGGAGAACTGGGCAGGGCCTCCAGGGGAAAGACAGAAGTGGGACAGTGTGTACTAAATGCTCCCTTCAGAGGTCCTTGTGGAAACACAGTTGTTATGGCACACCTTAGACTCAGACCTGGGTTTGAATCCCGGCTTCATCGCTTATTTGCTGGGTGGCCCTGGGCAATTCATTTCACCTCTCTGAGCCTCAGTGTCCACATCTGAAAAATGAGGATAGTTCTCCTTTCTTCCCATGCCATGGCACAGATTGCATGAGATTTGTAAATGTTAGCCATTACTGTAATCGAAATATAAATGATGATGATGATGATGTGATTCTTTAATCCAGACATAGCTCAAAAGGCGTGTGGTCCAGACTCCCCGCCCTCTTCGGCGGGGTTAGTGGCCAACACTCTGAAAGCACTCGCTCTGCCCCAGCCTCTTTGCTAAGTACTGTTTGTGCATTTTTTTCCACCTCATCCTACCAGCAACCTTGTGAGGCTAATGTTCACACTATCCCCATTTTACAGATAAGGAAGCTGAGACACAGAGGGGGGAAGTGACTGCCCACAGCCACACAGCTGGCTAGTGGCAGAGATGGTCTGACCTCTAAGCTGTCCTGCCCACTTTGGAGGATGTGGAAGGGGGTGTCACCCACGTTTTTCCCCTGATGCTGTCCCAAATTCTGCGATTCTGGGCACTCCGGCTCTCCAAGTGGTCTCTGTCTGACTGCAGCTCCTGGCCATGCTGGGTGCCAGGGAGCATGGGCAGGGCAGGGCCCGCTGACCACTGTGTCTCCGCAGAGGCTGTGGAGGCCTGCGTCCTGCACGGGCTTCGGCGGCGGGCGGCTGGCTTCCTGCGGAGCAGTAAGATCGCGGCTCTGTTCATGAAAGTGGGCAAGAGCTTCCCACTGGCTGAGGATCTGAGCCACAAGGTGCAGGACCTGCAGCAGCTGATCGAGAGCGCGTGAGTGTGGAGTGTGGGGTGCAGGCTGGGCAGCTCCCCGGAAGATAGTCCACACTTCTCCCAGGCTCAGGGGGAGCCCACACCCTCCCTCCCTTCCCCCAGCACTCTCCTTCCTCTCCTTTCTGCTCCTCA